CTTTTTAAGCTGTCAGTGTGTCCATACATCACGACTTGTGGAAAGACCTAAAATAACCTGCACGTTTATATACACTTACCGCAGCGGTTAAACAAGTCAAAGGAGGACTAGGTGTCGGTGGGGCTGAGAGTACGGACGGGGATGCGTGTAATCGCTGGATTCTTAACACATTTCCCGCTTTACGGTTCTCCGCTCCTCGTCTCGCTTCTGCCTCAGGTGTCGTCTGACTGAGTATCGACGAACGAAGATGGAAGCGGTTTGGCTGGCGGGGCTTTCGCCAGCGGCGCTTCGAGGTGCGCATACCGGCAGGCTTACTTTGTACATGCTGACACCGAAAATAGCTTTTTGGATACACACAAACACCTGGAGACGACTGAGCACGAGAAACAACTGAAGTTGTGTTACTGTGAACAGCGACAATTTGATGTTGACGTTGCACAGGCAACTACGGGAGGCAAGAGCAAACCAGCTTCAAAGTGAACTGAGATCCGACAGTGGGATGCCAAAGTTAATAGTAGATGAGTTGAGTGTCCGCTATCCCACCAAGCCGTCCGACGCTACTTTAACTACTTTGAGTGACCCACTGGGGGTTACCAAGAGGTTGCTATGTAAAACTCACAGTATTCTCGAATGTTTTCCCCGGGGTGGTGGAACATAGGTACTTAAAGTCAGACTTAAACAATATTAGACCAAGGGAATGATTTAATTTGACAAAGAAGTGCAACTATTTAATTACAACGTCGACGATGGTGATAATAATGATGATAATAATGGTGGAAATACGTAGCAATTCGGCTTTAAGGAACCTAAATGTCAAACTGCAGTCCATACCTGAATCTTTCAAGTTGTGTCAATCGCCAAATTCCGAAGAAAAAACCGAAGTTGGAGAATTTACCCTCTGAGGTCCTTTTAGCTCTTGTTTACAGTTAAAGGGTAGTCACAAAGCAAAACTATACTGTATCTATGGGGCTTTGGGAGGTGGTGCGCTAAATGTCAGAAAAACTGCAATTTATTCGACTAAATGGAAAGCCGGCCACAGAAGTACCCAGAACAACGTAATATTTATTTTCCTGCACCCCCATGGAAAACACAACATCTGTGAAACACATATCAAAGCCAAAAGGGGGGACTACTTTATTTTCAACAAAGTTTATATACAGTGCAAAACACACCCTCTTAGATTAAATGGTTTAGACAACATATCGTATATAAGCATTCGGTAGAAAGATATTATTTACTCACCCTGTACTTTGATCGATCCGGTTGCTTTTACTGAGCCAAAAGAATTGGTAAACTCGCAGTCGTAGATACCATTGTCAGCCTCAGTGAGCTAAAAGACCATACATTTGTATGCTTCATATCAGTTGCAACGGATACTTAGCTTATTTACGAGCAATTAAAACGGCAGCTCCTATGTAATTTTACTGAGTCAGGCCTACGTTTGTAAAATATTTCACCAGCGTTCTCAAATCCATTTAGAGCAGTATTTTTTGGGAATTTTGTTATTTGGTTGGATCAATCAGTGCAGAGAAAAGAAATCTAAGTTGCTGCCCGATTAACTATCACAAAAGTCGGATCTATCATTCGAAGCTCCCTAACTATGGTTTAGGAGGGGAACGATCAGCATGGACAGATTTACAATTCTGTTTCAGATGACTTGACGTCTGCTGATGTCTACTGACATAGTTCCTGCACATAGCAACATGAAAAATGGGAAATCTGTCAAAGTAAGGGCCCATGTTGAATTCTCTTTTGTGAATTGTGCTTCATTGGAGCAGTCCGTTAGCCAACATCCTATCAGTGTCTTTAAGGGGCGCTCCACACTTCAGTGTTTAAAAAGCGTGGTTCGCTTATTAACCTTCCAGACAAAGACAAAAATATTGAAGAAATTGATAAAGCGCCTTGAGGAGGCGTTACTACAGCAGTTCACGTTTCTGATAGCAATAGCCCTGTTGCAATGTTAGATTAATTTACATTAACAGGACTGGGAATGGACATTTTTGCAATGGTTGAGGAGAAAAAAGAAAAAGGAACACCCCAAACAGAGCGTAAAAGTTTTAACGCATCATATTCTAGGATTTTGAGGAAATTGTTCCAACTGGTGATTGAAATTCGATTAAATACAAACAAACTGCTATAAAAGATATTACCCGTGTGTCTGAGGGAGCCCTTCTTATCTCTGGTGTTGCTACTGACAGTACTGACAGAGAAGGATTTATAATTTGCCATATGATACACAGCGAATATTTCTTTTTTTGCCTTGAATTAAGTGTTGCAACACCTACATGTAGAGATCTTATCAAGATGAGGTTAGAAAGTGTTGTGCAAGCCGCAACTACTTTCAGTAAGATATACCGGTGAACTTAACCGACCGTTCGCTTAAAACATAGTTTGACGATGGTCTGATGTACAGTATATTGCCGATCTCATGGAATATTGCCTGAAATTACGAAATGTGTTTTCGATTCTAACAGGTTACTTAAGAAGGGTTAAAAGATAGTTCCTCCTACAGCCTAAACATATAATATTTTAGTCTCGTCAGGATGCTGCCTTTGAGTGAACTTCTTTTTGATCGGCTGAAAAACCTATACGCTGAAAAAATGCTATTTAAGTGGTATGTCTGTTTTATTATTTTTCAATGCCTATTTAAATTCAAATATAGTTTGTAAAACGTATGCACAAAAATATTTTTGCAGTAGTTTGGTGGCAGCTTACATCATTTTTACTTTTCACACTTAAATAAGTAATATCTTGTGACTTTAAAAAGGTTTCTAATGGTGAGATTTTATAAGACCGGGAAACGTTCATTTTTAATACACAGGATAATGTAGATTATAACCCTGCATAATTTGTTTGAATCGAAACTTTTATTTCAGAATTTGGGCTGACATTTCATGAGGTAGGAATCTACTGTCAATATCGTTTTCGAAATTAACTGAAAATGAACTAATTCCTTAGATGAAAAGTTTTAGATTGTACGAACTATCTGCTATAAGGACGCGCGACATAGATGGCATCTGCGCTCACAGAAAACGTGTCTGTCCCTTAAGCAAAATAGTGGGGAATTATTCTCACTGGTTTCCTTTTCAACCACAAAGGGTGTTTTAACACTATCAACTAAATTTTGACCCAAAATATCACCTCTGTTGGCAGCACCGCTACGCAAGCTAACATCAGGCTGGACGCGCCCACTCTAACTCTAAAAGACACGTTTGTTGTTTTCTGAAACCAACTGCTATATGCTCTGAGCCTATGACCAGACAGGACGGTTCGGAGAAATCATAGAACGTAAACCAGGGAAGGGTAAAATAACCGTTATTAGACATTCACAAATAGTTTTTTGTGACTGATGTCGCGGAACTGAACGTAGGCCTGCCGAGTAAAGTAAATCAGTGGATGTGATTTACGTCATGCACACGGGTCTTAGATAGACTCACCTGGTCAATAGTCAGTACTGCTACCGCCGTTCCTTCCTCTTGGGTGTTTTTGATTGTGAAACGGCCACCATCCTTGAGGAGAGTAGCACCCTTCTTCCAGGTGACAGTGCATGCCTCCGAAGACTCACACTTCACCTCGATCGTTGCCTTCTTATTGTTTTCACTGTAGGTTATATTGGGTTTGCCAATGACTTTCGGGCTGCAAACAAAGGTACAGATACTGAGTTAGGCTTCTGCTCCCCCCTTTTAGCTCGTTCTCACACGCATCGTTCTATATATCAGTCTTTTTTAAACAAAGCCTACTATAGCGACTGAGTCCATGAGTGACATTCTATATCCTATTAAAATATGTTGGAAGGATAAGACGCATAGGGAGATTATGCCTATTATGTGATATCAATTACCAGGCAAGCTATCCAGGATTGGCAGAAATTGCACATATCGATTGGTTACTATGCACGTGGCCTATTGACTCAACCTGGTCCCGGAATTCAGCTTTTTTTCTATTCGATTATCGTCGAGGAAATAAGTTTACTCTTCTGAAGGACAACAAATAATTTTTGTGCTTCCGCCCTTGGCCCTACAGACTACAGCTGTCTTGAGATGTTCTGAAATAAAACAATATTTCTAAGTATATTTTTTGCCAGTAAGATATGTTTTTTACCAGCACATTGTGGGAGCCGTTTTACCTGAAGATTGGCTGTCTATGGAATTACTTTTGTAGTCCCATGTCATCTTCGTCAAACAGTGTATAAATGTCGGTCTTATATTGCTACTTGGATGGCAGTGGTCATTTGAATCCTAGCTGCGTTAGATAGCATCCTCTCAGGGAGAATATTTTGTCGTCGACAGATGACTATACCCACAAAATAATCACTTTACACCGATTTTTCCTTTGATCTGCAAATTTATTAACTGCATTTAATGTTCATATATAATCCGTCATATCCCAAAGCCTTGTCGTATTTTTAAATAAACGAAAGCCCTGAATTTGATGCTGGTTTTGAACTAAAAATATAATCAGCCCAATAATTCCCTTGCAAAGCGGGCTTCGTAGAAATAAGGAAGAATTTGCAGAATTCCAAAGTGACACCTACAATTTAAGAACGTTCGTTGCTTTGGCTTCTCCGCCGCTGTTTTTGGCCACGAGGATGTAAGAATCCGCATCGATACTGGCGAAGTTCTGTCAAGGTAAAAAATGAAGGTAAACTGTAAAATACTGCAGCTTTTTACTTTCTTTCGATATTTTTTTTGAAAACCTAGTACATATATTCAAGGTCTAGAGGCATGAACCGAAATTTTATGTAGCTATTTTGGCCGTAGTTCATCAAATACTGCGGGATAACCGCGTAATATTCATAAGCGGTCAACAGACAGACAGTAATAAAAGCATTCAATTCACAAAATATGAGCAGGAAAAGGAATGGGAAGATGGACTCTATAATTAATAGGAAGAGTTTGAAAAATCGTTGAATGGCGTACTTTAATACTGTTCTTTCTTATTGCAAGACCTATTTCAGCAAAAAGTCGGTGCTCCGACTCCCAGTCGATCTGCATGTCTTGATCTTTTGCATAGATGAAGAGAAGTTTGCATTTGGTAACCTTGCCAGATGACCCGTGACCATAATATACGGTCATGCAACCTTTTATAAACTTTTACTAGGACCACGTTTGTTTATACGAGGAGAGGCCTTGTGGGATTCTGGAGTATAAGAAGAACTTTAAGGAGGCTATCCGCCCCCCCAGTCCGGTTACCTCAACAGTCGATCGATAGTCTAACGCATAAAGTATTCAACAATGTGGCGCAATGGTCGCGCATTTGTCGAAAAGAAACATGGGCAGTTCTGAAGAAGAAGAATAATCCATAGTTCTTAGTAATAAGGTAGGGCTGATTTCGTTATCACTACAGCTTAGGTGAGGGGCTTAAAACATTGGGCGCATTCTACGCTGTCTGATAAAGTCTCTGTAATCTAAATCCTTACTTTTAATCTTAAGCAGATAATCTTATCATTTGCGCACATCTACAGCTGCATACTGATATGTGTATCATACATCTCACTTACTGCCTTACAGGGGACACTGCCGTTTCCATATATCCTAACACATTTAAGGTAGGTATTTCTTCAACCAATGCTGGCGGTCATTTAGAAGAATTTATTTAATGTCCATTGCCACGTGGTTGACTCACAAGGATGCGTAGGACTTCCACATAGACGGCGCCATCCTTGGTACTTTTCCTTTCATACTTTCCAACGCGCGGTCGCACCTCAAGGCTTCCCTTTAGCCATTTGAAAGTGGGTGCGGGTTTCGCCGTGCATCGGCATTCGATGACAACTGCTTTTCCGTCCTTCCTAATTGAAGATGGTTCAAATGCTGGTGGTTGGTCTCCCGTTTTTTCTTTTGCTGTAAATTAAGCAGATGAATGCTCACATAGGCGTTCTTAAGGGGCAAAAGGCACAACACTTAAGCTACTGTGCATTCGATAACAAAAACTAAATTATCTAAAATAACATAACGTGAACTAGACTTGATTAAGTATCACAAAGTACATGCCATGAGTCCAGTTACAATTTAAAAGTGAGAAGTTTATCAACCACACTATACGGAACATCAGCAGAGACCGAAACCACAAAAATGCTCACGAGTAAGTAACATTTGGTTCATTTACAGTTTTGGTTGTAGTTGCTTTCCATAAATCGACAAACAGTTCTAAGGATGTGAAACAATCTTTGTTTAAGTCTGACGTTTCGGATCCCCGTTAGAACCTACCGACCAAACCAATCAAAAAAATGGCAGCGGACGAACAGAGCTGGTACTATAAGTGATCACCATTTAACGTAAGTGTCTATAATTGGTACCAATTTTACTTGGTCAACTGTGTAAGAGTCGTCAATTGCTACGATTTCATCACCCGTCCTGATAACTGAGCTGACACTTACCGGACATTCGACTTCACTGATACTGCCACATGAAACCTTATTTTCTCGCACTTCTCCAAATAACTGCTGCTCCAGCCAAGCTGTTTTATCGCTTCTTGGTCATTGCATTTATTGATAGACTGAGCTATTACGGTAGAAAATAAAACAGCTCGCAGTTGACATCAGCTGTTGGAATTTCAGTCACATTGAGCCTTTTGAAGTCCCTGATCAGTCCATTTTTTGTACACTTTTCAAAACTTGCTTGTCAGTGTTTATTTTAAAGAATTTTGTACTGCGAATTTATCCGAATACTTGGAGGAGATTTGTCTTCGTATTACTTTATATTTTTCCAATATCTTAAGTAAAAAGGTAACTTATGAATCAACAACAATTTAAGATAAATGATCCGTACCAATTTAAGTAAACCAGGTAATTTAAATATTTAAAGTCGAGTTTGCTTTGCCTTTCCGCATGTGAGAAAAAACAGATGTTATTTATGATTGTGGGTTCGAGTGTAAATCTCAAACGTCAGGCAAATACAGTTTTTGTCCCGGTGATCGCGTCTACTTCACATTAGTTACTTCCTGGGACTCGTATTTTTGCTTGTATCGGCAGTTCTCGCAAATTTTTATACATGATTTCATGTAGACAGAGCTTTCTTCGGTTCAGTTATACCTGACGTGCTGGAGACTCATGTGTGTTTACCTAGTCATTCGGGAATTCGAAAGTTGCTGTGAACTTCGTCACAAAACTTCGGTAGCGTCGTTTGCTCCTATTCACAGCCCGTAGAGCCCACTGCGTCTGTGATCTCTTAGGGGTGGAACTTAGTAATGAGTGGAAATCTACCAAAACTGAAAGTCAACATTAAGGTCGCTGTTGATATATTAGAATAACACGAACAATTTAATGCTATACATGCAGCGTCGATGCAAAATTAAGTTTGATTGACTCAAGTTTGCTTAATAAATGTCTTAGCAGTGGCGTTTTGTCTTAGTTCCGGCAATTTAACTTCATTTTTATGTATATATAGTGCTCCGGAAAAGAATGGACATCAAAATAATCTTAATGTGGAGCAAATACTTTGGCATCCGCTAGAGTTCTGGTTAAAGGTCATGAAATTTAGGAATGAAGCAGTGATTATACGCCCAAATGCAATCATGCCTAGGCAAAGCGTGTCAAGCGTCTGCAATTACTGGACCGCAATGCAACTACGGTTACCTTGGAGGTTAAGACTGATTGAGGCGTTGCTCTCTCCGGCGGCATTTTTGGCGTTTATGCGGTAGTTTCCCCCGTCCTCCGGAGTGGGCGAGGCAATGCGGATCTCCACAGTGTAGTTATCTTCTGACAGGGGTGTGACGACGAATGTCCGTTTACCCGGCTTCTCTTCAATCGCCTTGTCAGCAAGGTAGAAGGTCAGTTCGGGCTTCGGTTTGCCTTCCAAAAGGCAGGAAAGGACTATCTCATTGGTATCTTTGTCCTTCCGGATTTCTGGCTTGTTTGGAAATTTTGGGGCTTTCGGGGGTTGCCTAGTATAAACATAGGAACGTGTAGATTAGCACGACAATGGGAGGATAAAGGCGCGGGAGAGCTGGGCTTAAATTAGGCTGGGGTTACAGCTTGCGGCTAACTTACGCCTTGGTTCCAAGGTTAAGTTTGATGCTGGCGGAGGATTCACCGAATGCATTTTTGGCAAGTACTGCGTAGTCCCCACCGTCTTGAGCATTGATTTGGGAAATCTCTAGAGTCAGTGTGTGATTCGTGCCTGAAGACTGAACACCCGCCTTGTAGCGTCCACCCGATGCAATTGCAGTGCCTTCCTTAGACCAGCTGATCTCACCAATCGGATCAGCGGTAAGAGTGCACTCAAAGACGACATTTTTGCCCGCCTGTTTAATCTTTGGCTTATCTGTAAATTTGGGTGCTATACCTGACAGGAAAGAGAATACGGGATGATGAGCATGAGGAGCAAGGCCATTGGGCAAACAGGAACGAAAATATGGAACTTCTACATCATATACATACGTGCAGATAAACCCTTAGACGCACTTATGTGGGGGTTTATTGTTCAATGAGATATTATTATCTTTTTAAATCGTGCGCAGCAATCTTACGCTTTTAATCATAAAGACGACCACGTGGGTCTTACGTTAAAGGCTAATGAGTTCATTCTGTTACCCACTGTGTGTGGCGGTTTTTCGACATTTGAGACACTAAAAAGGTGTTCCGGATAGCCCAGGCTGACGAAGCAAGGCGCTAGTTAGGTAAGCGTTTCCCTCGTAATCTCAGAAATCAATCTTTTAAGGAACCGGAAAATTAATCATAGATTGATGACTATTTCGGAACGTCCAACATTTGTACTCTATTCGTTTGCTGAAGACTTAGAATCAGCATTTGAAGGGCGAAATTGGTAACATACAAGAGCCGAACGTAAGGATATCTCAACCATGAGAAAGCATTTTATGATATGCAGTTATTAGTGGTGGGAGCTGGCGAGTTTCATGAAATGCTACGAGCAAATTTTATCGGTTTAATAAGTGTTATAAGGCATTAACTCCGGGATTTTAATTAATAATGACACAATAGTACTATAGTTAATGGACAAGTTTTGTGAAGAAACCCTAGTTTGGCCGACACCCAGCAGTTTCGAAGTCTGCCAGCATGATTACCCTTTTCTATGCAAAAAACCGAAGGATGTTATGCACTGATTTATGTTCAAATTTTGGATCCATTCATACTCGGAATCGTCATGTGGGTGAAATCAAGTTGTAAAGGACGATTGTAATTTGCATGTTATTTTGATGCCTAGCAAAGGTTCATGCTAATTGAACCTTCAGGGAAACTTTTAAACTATATTATACAAAAATAATATATGGGTGGTTGTTTCCTGCCTAAATCTTTTAAATTTACGCCGCTAGGATTTATAATTTCTGTTGCTTCGATTACTAAATTCATTGTCCTAGTGACCTTGCGTTCATCTTTTTTTCCAAAATGTGACTTCTACCAACCAAGATGACCAAATTTGCTTCAGTTTTGCAAACTTTATTTTAAATAATCCAATTGCCTATTTTTTCCATTATAGTGTTGTTTTTACCTCAGGGTAAACTTCTGCTAATAACTTTGTATTGCAGAGTCCAGCGTCTCTTAGGCTGCCGCATTTGAAAGCGAATGATTGTGGGGTCAATAAGACATATGGCATCTGAAGCTGAAGAGGCCTGGCCTGCGAAGAATGTCTCGTAAGCAACCCTTCGTCTATTCTTTTTCAGCAAACTGAAGGTGCTTTTTAGATCCTCATATTTTCATTACGACGTACAGATACACTTGGAGGCATTGGCGAAGTCACTGCAACTTTTATGCTTCATATATTATCAACTTTTGGTTAAGTTATGTGAATATGTGCAGTGGCTGTGCTCTGAAAGCTAGTACCAACGGCAATCCGATCCCCCACACGCGGAGAAGACTGACATCGCCTCCAGGTGTCCTAGAAGTGCTTTACACGTGCATTTGTTTATAAGGGAGTATGCCTGTGCTGTAGTTGCCAGTAAAAGTGTATTATAGGGGACACCACGGAAACCGTAACCCTGGAATTTGGTAATATGGGGCAGGTAGTAATGGCAATTATTATTTTTATTTTTTATAGATTATTTATAAATTGTTTAGTTAATTAAATTCATTATTCGTTATTTTGGTTTATTTTTTAATTATCGAGCGCTTTTTCGTTGCCGTCTATCAGCTTTTTACGGTACTAATATCTTTTTTTCCTGTTTTTGTTAGCTATATTTATTTCATTTTCTCCCTGGCGCCCCGTCTAACCCCCACAACCACCGGTCCCATACTAGAGAATTCTGGAGTTTTCGATTTCCGTGGCGTTACCTGTAATCGAATTTTACCCAGTTGCCTAAAGTTTACTCCTCCCTGTTCACTGTGCTGCGATGTTCAACCCGACAAGCTCAAGCCGACTAGTGGTCTAAGTTGGCGTTAGTCTTCGCCTTATCCATCTAGGCTTAGCGGAGCCCAACTACCACATACCACGGTGCAAAATGTTCCGCGGTCTTGGCCTTAGTCAACAACAGTGATGGAGGAGCATCAAATTCATAGCAACACATGCATTTTGGAGTCGTTTGGGGGAGAAGGTGAAGTAAGAGGGAACGACTGTGCGTTTGTATTAATTTTATTTGTGTGGGCGTAGTCTTCTTGAGCACTTTTAGCAGCAGTAGTCCAAGAACCACGCAGTCCTCAATGGTAAGGTTATATGTTCTCTTCCAGCGTGGCCTGGGAAGGTCTGGTCTCAGACGATGATGTACGAAAGCAACATCGGTTTCAAAATTATTGAATAAAGTGTGACCGTTTTTAAGAGCGGAAGAGGGTGAGCACTATGTGACGGACTGCAAAAATGCATGCTTAATCGGAAGAAGTCCGATATTGCCGCTTATATGTGAGTTTTCATGCAATTCCCGATAGCCCGATGTCTATGGGTTTTTTCTCATTTTTCACATGACAACTGTGCGTAAAATGCAGTTAACAAGTATTTATCCCAGTGGATTATTTGGCAGATGAAGCCAAACTAGGTTCCTTGCAAAGTGGATAAACTTACTCTTGAAATGAAGTTGGTCTTATCTCTTGATTGATCTCAATCATAGAACAATTTAACTGCGTCTTAGAATGTTATTCGTATATATGTAAACGCTATTGCCTCGGAAATCCGAGGTTATGCATGTAATAAAAGGCTCTCTATAGCCAAGTTTTCGTCTCTCATTACTCGGTGGGTCACATGAAGTAAGCAAAACATTTAATTTTAAACTGAGCCAACAGTAAAGAAGGTGCTAGTTGTCTGCACCAAGTGCTTGCACTACGTACACCATTAAATATAAATGAGGGTCCAGCTGTTCACGAAAACGACTGTGTCTGTGTGCCCACGACTACGCTACTCAAAACATCACACAGTTCGCTGATAGACACAAACAGTTTGTCATTTGTCGCCGATGTAACTCCCCGCAGTGAACAACACCGTTCTTAGGGCCAAGCATCATAATTTCCTTCTGTGCTGCAGCACACTAGCACCCATGCTTACTCGATCATGTGAACGAAAGTTGGCCAAAATCTACTTCAAGGCTCGCCCGTCCCAATTCTTGAATGTGCTGACTGCTCTGAGCAAAAAAACAATACAGATGACTGGTTCGTTCAGGAAACGAATTTTATCGCAGCTTACCCAGTTCCACTGCAAGGGGCTTCGGGTCTACATTGGTTATTTTGTTATTAATTCATGAAGAACCGTCTCCAAATTCCGCGAAAGGCTACTGTGTTTATAGTTATCTTATTTAATTTAAAAGATCAGATTTTTCAAATCTGTTATAAAGTACGTCCTAAGTAATGTCTCCTGCTATTCGCTTGGTACTTCAAGTTTTGCGAGGTCTGAAAAATTCTAACTTATAAATTATACACACATGTTATTGACCTGCTTTTGATGTCGGGTCTGTTACTGGTACCTAGACACACGACCAACGTTATCTGAAATTGTGGCTTCTTAACCTGAAGTTCATATAACTGTAAATGTGGAAACGTGTTATAGAGAATAAGAGCATATCTGCAAATGGCTGACTTGCCCTTTGTTGTCATGATGCAGGACTTTCAGCTAAATTTGGCATAGAAATCCAGCAACTAAAACGGCAGAGTCGATATAGGTAGGAGCCTGGGGAGTGATGGGAAGCAGAGGAGTAGGGGGTTAATATCCTTGGAAAGTCGGAACTGCTAACGACCTTGGGGAGACGGGGGACACCTTGGAGGTCTGGAGAGTGAGCTTGGTCACAGAGCGCTGCACAGTAAAATCGCCTTCTCGTGTTGGTGGTAGATACCGCCGTCGAAAAGATACTGAGGCAATAACCGAAAGCTGATCAGAATGCGTCTGTGCGTGCGTACAAATGCAGACACATCTACATGCATGCGTCCGCACCCACGAACCAGAAAGCTACTTGGTACTTCGCCGAGGTGACAAGAGCGGATTTCCCTTTCTCCTACGTGGTGCGTGAGTGCTTTTCCGCTTACATAGGTGTGTGTAAGTGTGCGCAGGCTATGCACCCGCCTAAGGGCCGAAACAGTCGGTCCCTATCGTACTGTGTGTGGGTGGGTGCGGGGATGGGCAAATTCTCGATGGGAGTGCATACATGTGCCCATACACGGCACCGGGAGGGCATAGCAGCGCACGCACAGCCGCAGAACCGACTTGCTGCCAAGATTCCGCCAGTGTAGGATCAACCAACCAGCGCAGCTGCCCAAGTACGGCATCTGACAGTCATCGGTGTCCTTTGCTTTTGCGGGTCGACTACGCCCACGAGATGCGTGTGTGTGTGTGCGTTTAT